GTAAAACACTCTTTTCCTCATCTGTTATACAATGTAACCCCTCTTGTAGTTTGCTCTGAGCTGACTCAAGTTGATGTGGTATGTGTTCAAATCAAAGGCACTGTTACAAAGTAGATAGAAGTTCTATCTCCATGTCTTTTAAATGATGAAAGTGAACTTGCTGGTATTTTATTATAAATTATTTGCAGGTGTTATTATTTATATCATTTCAAAGATGCCAGCCCATATTCTGGGGGTGAAAAGAGAGAAAAAGAAAAAAAAGGGTAAATAGACAGCAAATCCAACAAGACATTTACAGGGAAAGGTCAAAAAGATCTCCATACTGTTCCATATAAAGCCTTCAACCATAGCCAGAAAACACAACAAACTATGCAGTGAGTTCTGGACATTATTCATCACAACAGGAACAGCCAGAAGCATTTTGATATTTATAAGTAAGAGCAGTGAGGCAGCTTAGAAGTTGCCTATATGCAGAAAGACATTGCAGCAGCAATCAGAATTGAATGGCTCTGGTCAACTTCAGCTGCACTTTTTTTATCAGACTGTGCCTTCACCCAGTTGTTAAAAAGGGCAATGAAATCTTATATCCACATATTTGATGCCCTTAGGCAACTCCTCCTGAGTTGTGCTGCTATGAGTGTTATTAATTTAAACATAAATAATTATAAAAACACCATAAAACACAGTTCTGCTATAGGGGAGAAATGAAGTCTTGGCACCGTAAGAATTCCCATGTGTGAATAAACTCATCTATAAGATCTGACAGGGACAGGATGAAAAATTTGGTAGACAATTTCTGTTTCTTTTACAACAGATGGTGTGAGCTCTACAGAGAGCACCACAGCTCTTAATTTGGGGTGGTACAAGGACCCTATCAAGCTTCAGTCCTTGCTGAGCAGAACAGGCCAACACTTCAGTTCCATGCTTCGGTAGCAGGCAAGTGGTTTGTTTCAATATTTCAAGATTTGATAAACTTAACACAGCTGGTTCAGAAAATTACACATACATAATACATAAAACTAATTTTACAGCTCACACAAATTTATTAACTTAAAAAAAAACAAAAAAACTGAAGCGTCTACTTGGCAATTAAGGTTGAAGTGTGTTAGCCTGCAATTAAAACTTCTATGCTTTAAGAAGTCACGCTATTAGAATGTCTGGCATCCTCTCCAAAAATCTACCTTTGCTACCAGAAATGGCTCAGTCAACTCTTCAGCAATGTGGGAAGTCACAAACCGTAGCTGCTTAGAATTCAGCACAAATTGCCTCCCTTCTGATTAGCAGCACAAAGTCTGACACATTGCAATTTATTTTCTACATGACTATCACTGCTAAAACATGAAGCACACATAAGTTAGGCAAAGTGCAGCTTTACACTCATCATATACGTGCCCCTGATTAAACTATAGTATCTGCACAGAAATATCATTATGCTCCAAGTCTAGTCAGAATGCAGCACAAATGTGAGTGTCAGGTAATGCCTTCAAAGCAACAACAGCAGCCTCTCTGCTTTACAGGTTGGTCACCACGTATTCCTGCTGCTAAAGTCTGCTTCAAAGTACTTGAAATGAACTCAAAACACCCTTAGTAGTTGTTCTACAAGCCAAGGCCAAGCAAATTGTGCAAAATTATTTTTCCCCAAGCATAGAATTACAAGCTCATTTATCATTTATACTTATTAGAAACCTAATTTTACACTTAAAGCACCAACTTCATCTATGACATAAAACAAATTATTTGGCAACGACAGGAATGGCACCTCTGTTCAAAAGCACTCATGAATCCTCACAGTTGCTTTTCTGTTTGCTTTGCCTAGATGCAGCAGTTCTAGTAGGAAAAAGCCTCCATCAGAGATCTGCAATTCTTCATCTGGCTTCCACACGTGCATTTCTTCCAGCTTTCTCTGTGAGAACAAGGAGGAATCTTCAAAAAATGATGATGTAAGATGTATTACTCTAGGGGAAAATCAGCAAAATTAGCAGAAATATCATTCAAAAATGCTATGGCTTTAACAGTGATTATTTCCTCTATTATCAGACTATCAGAATGTTAAATATAGTTACTTCATGTATAACAGAAGTAGTTTTACCTTTAACCTAACTTACCCAAATTTGAAAAGTAAAATCTGTAGTGGAGTGTGCAATAGTGTTGTTTAAATAGTTTTAACAAAAGTCACCTAAACATGAGAGAACACAAATATTGTAAGGTTATATTCTTCCATACCAAACATATAGCACTCATTAAGCTTAGGTAAGTCAAATGTGCAAGATCCTAGAATAAATCTAAACTTAAGGTAAAATTAAGGAGCTACTGAATAGCCACGACAGCATCAAACCACAGTCTGGACAAGTGGCACTGACACACACCTTAGTTGGTATACATTACCTGTGGCTGCTTAGGCTGCACTCTGAGATACTCATCTTCTGTTGGCAGTAACAGGGACTGCTCAGCAGGACACCAAACCACACTTTCAGCAGAGCTGGAAATGCTGCATAGCGAGAGATGCTTCTTGTTTTAATGTCTTTTAAAGAAAGAGGATGCACATCCACCTTCGAAGAGCAATTCTCAAAGCTGCCGAAGAAAAGCTTTCTCGTGTTTTAGTTAAAACAAGATTCATACAGATTACACTGTGAAATACTCATGCCATTTTCCACACAAAAGATTATGAGAGTCCAGTTTAGAAGGAAAACAGGTATGGCGTGCTTTTTTTTTTTCTTTTTAAATCAGAGATTGGCAGAGTTATGTAGTAACCTGGTATATGATGACAAGATATGCATCTTAGAGAAAAGAATACTTTAGGATGATTAAGGATAAAACACACCTTCTTACAAAGAAGAAAAAGCACAACATTCTTTACCTCAAAGTTGGAGCCCATTTGAAAACCTGGGACCTGCACAAATAAATTTGATTACCATTCACTGTGCAACCCAGTCAAGTTCCTCTGGAAGCTGCTGACGAGCTGTGATGGTGCAAGTTATGCCACTGCTGCTATCAGCCCCACGAGGCACTTCAAACTGAATCACTGCAGAGCAATGATTAAGGGATGCAAGTTTTGGGCACACACTGAGAATCTTATTAGTACCTTCACACAGAGAAGTGGCATTCCACTGAGACACGCAAGCCATCCCTGTAGCCACATTTGTTACCCAAATCATCTTGGGAATAGCTGCAATTACCAACTATGCTACATTCTTGCAATAGCCAAGTAATACCAGGCAGTTAACTGCATTCATTCCAATGGCCTGTGTCACTGTACAAAAGGTAACCTACCTTGATTTCATCTTTTCCCAGAGTCCAGTGTATCCAAATTCAAATGCATAGAACAGCATACTAACAGTTCTACATACTTTAATAAAGAAATTCATCTACATGGATGAAAACCCACGACCCATCCACAGGTTATGCCTACAGACTGCTTCACTCATGTAAATGGGAATTGCATTGCAGTGCATGTAGTCATTGTAAACCTGTGTTCATGGACAGAAATAGGAACTGTCGGTAAAGAAAGTCATCCTCTCAGAAACCACAAGCCTCACCTTCACAGCATCAACTCTCCCTCCCACTGAGCATCAGTTCTGACAGTGCATGCAAAGGCAGTCGTTTCTCAGGTTGCAGAGTTATAAACTATCCAGAGCTCCCAGATATTCTGAAGTGTCAATGCAGAAAAGTAAGGGCAAGACAGCAATAGGAGCCTATCCAATGATTTCCAAAAGGACAGCAGTACGTTTTACACCAGACTGATACACAGTGCTGGTAAAATAGCTTTCTGAAAGGTCAGAAAGTTAGGTAACCATCGTGAATACATACAGTGGGGGAATAAAATACAAGCCACACAGACACTTCTGTATAAGTAACAACTTTATTGTAACTTGATGTGCTGAAACGCAAAAATATTTTCAGCAACAAGGTACAAAAAGTATTTCACCATTAACATCAGCTGATAAAAAAGGCTGGATGGTTCGATACAACTGTTTACATATCTGAATTCTCTTAATCATCTCCACCCCAAAACAGGTCCAAGTCATTTCACTGGCTTGATTTCTAAAATAGGACTCATTTATCTTAAGCCTTCAAAAAACAGGTTACAAATACAGTGAAGTTCCTTGCAAAACACTTGAAATAGTGAATTCCCTTTACAAACATAGTCCATTTACTGTAAGCAGAAGCCAAGTTATGAAATTAAGTCAGTGTCTTGCTAGCCAACGAGCTAAGCTCTTTACTACAGAAGCTATCAACATCAGATAAAGAACATTCCATTTGTCAAAAAAAAAAACCAAGATATTTTATTAACCAATAGTAAAATTCAGCGTAACTCAACAACATTTCAGGCAGCAATACCTCACATCTGCAATTCACTGTCTTATGAAACACAGTTTCAAATACCGCACATCATTTTATTCTCCCAAGGGAGAAGCCTTTCCATGAGGATTTAAAAGGAATAATCTCCATGTAGGTTTTCTACTGACCTGTAGAAAGGTGAATTTTGTGTTAAACATCCATTGTTGAGAAAAACAACAAAACTAGAGTGACTTATAAAACTAACTTCATGTCCATGATTATCACATTTTGACGCATACTCAGCTTGTAACAGCAAATATTTTCACATTTTCACAAAATAGACATTATTCAACTTATATCTGTTATTCCACACTTTCTGCAGTGAAACTTAACTGCAAAAGCAGGAGTCAACATGCAACAAAGCTCAAAGGTATGATCTGTAACTTCTGTCTCAACTGCGTATCAAATACTCTCCTTCACCTTTAAAAAATACCTTTTAAAAAGATTTTGTTTCCTGTTAAATCTTCCCTTCATTGCAACGGTTTCCTAAAAAGGCACAATGTGTTTACACTTCTGCATGCAGTAAATGGACTAGAAAATAAGGATTGTTTATTGAAGCCTCTTCCACCCAAAGCATCTCCTTAGGAGAGGTTCAAATGGAAAAAAAAAAAAAAAAATAATATATAATACATAGTAGCATTTTAACAGCAAATTGAGTCCTTATTTTTAGAAAGTCATTCTTGACAAAAAACACCACACAGTCATACATACACACACGCACACACACACAGGACACACATGCAGGGTTCTCCCCAGAAAAGTATGCAAGCGGTGGTTCACATCTATCCAAGGGAGTAGTGTTGGCAAGCCAAAACGTGGCACCTTCATACAATATATTCCTAATCTGTATACAAAACTAAGAAAAAAATCCTAAGGTTTCATCCTGAAAAAGAAAAACCAACCCAAAATCTGTCCATCGTATTACACAGTCTTCTATCTGCTGCACTTAGAACTGACAACTGATGCTTTGAAGGGCAAGTGTTTGAGATGTAGGGGATGAAAACAAGCTACTGAATCCAAAGGAGAGGGTTGCAATTAACAGCTATCCCGTCCCAATAAGACAAGAATGCCACATGTGTTTCAAGAACAGAAGAGGTGAATTTTAGTGCACTCACTACTTAAGAATACAGCATCTGTTTTGCCTCTTTCTTAAGAGCTGACCAAACTTAAAAATATATATAATAAATAAACCCAAATCCAATCAGATTACGTGGTTTGTTTTCAATCCTGTCAGTGTAATGTACGGTATACACTGCCTAACTTGAAAAGTGGACACTTCACAATGTAGGTAATACCACAGCACAGTGTCTGACATTTTTTGGTACAAGTGTGCTATTAAGCTTCTGAAAAAAAAAAAGTCTTTGTAAAATCCTTAAGCTTTCCATTAGATTACTGTATGTTCTTACTTTAGATCAAGCTGAACTGGACAATCATTGCAGTACTGAATATTCAAGTCACTCAGAATGTTAGGGCTGCGAGTTTTACCGGCGATGGGTATGAGGGTATAATGTGTCCTAACACATTACACAGTGCAGCCACAACAGCACTGTTTTGGAGGGAACAATTATCTTCACATCTTATTGTGAAAAATGCTTGTGAGACTTTACTTTAGATAAATATTTAAAAATTGATATAAGGATAAATCTCTGTAAATATATAATTTGATGCCTTATGTACTATTAAAGTTTCTGGTTTTACACTTTATCCATCATAAAAGATTTAGTTGGAAGGTAAGAAAATGCATGTTTAGAGATTATTTTGTTAAGAAACCGGTGTGGGCATTTTTTCCAATTTGCCTTTGCTAATGGCCAGAGTACAAAAGTATACATTCTTTCCTCTAAAAACTTCATTTAGAGCAATTCATAAGAACCTTAATGAAATGAGGATGGAAAAAGACTGTAAGAGAGTAAACGATTCCTCCTCTCTGTTCCCTGCATAACTTTTTTTTTTTTTAATAGGCAAACTAAAGCCTTTATCCAAACATGATCATAAATTAGGTGAGATCTCCTCCCAGTCCCCACTGCTAAACCCAAGTCTTCCCAAAGAAGAAATGCAACACATCACTATTACAGTAAACTCAATGTAATAACTCAGGAAACATTTTGAGTGTGCACTACTGCAAACTTCTCCTCTCAATTGTAAACAAAGCTATCAAACACTGAGGATGTTGGTATTAAAGCTAAGGTTCATGGAATAAAGAACTGGCCCATGACAAGCATTTTATAAACGTTTCATCCTTTTCACATTATGCAGAATTTCAATACCATCCACAATGCTAGTACAATAACTGAAATGCAAGACTGAGCAAGTCTCTGCTTGCTGACACATCTGACATTTCAGGGAAATATTCCTCCTGATGAGTGTGGAGCTTCCCAGGTGCTAAGAGAAGCTGTGCACACATTGAGATGGGGAAAGCCTCTCCTCCACAATTTTGCCTTCCACATGCCTCTTTCAAATTAGCAGAAGTATTCTGTTACTTAAATATGAAAGCTTGCAATAGTCACCTTCAAATGAGTCTTAAAAAGACATGCCTTTCTTTTCTAACAAAACTAAATCCCATGTGGCTGTGGGCATCTGAAAATGTATCTAAAAAGTTAAGCCACAATTACCTGTACCTCATTAATTCATCAAAAGCAAAATATATATGTACCACACAACATACAAAAGTTACACGTTAAAAGTGCATATTAAGAATCCATTTGGCCCATTTTCTTCAATTTACATTTGGTCATCCTATGCATTCTTTACTTTTCTATGTAACCGTACATGTGGGATATATTTCTTTTCCATATACAATACTTTTCTGTTTTCACATTGAACTTTTCACCTCTCGTTCAGTTCTGCATTAAATGTAAACTAGCGATGGACCACAAAGAAACACAAGCAAGAGGTTCATATTCTGTGTTTCTTTTCACCGTTTGGACAGCTTTGACACACACACAATAAGCATTACAAACTGTAATGAAAATACATTTTCGGGCCAAACCATTGCATATTTGCCCCCACAATGAAAAATAAATTATGTTCAAAGCAGTATATTGCCATAAATAGCCTGTAGGCATTCGCTGAAGGTAAACAGGCTCTCCCCATACACAGCACTTGTCTAGGGTACATTTGTGCCTCTGGTTCAAGTGCTTTCAATGAGAGGCTAGTTAAAACCTTCCAGTTAGCACAGGACCAAACTATAATAATCTTTTTTTCTTCTGAAAATAATGGAAGATCCCTTTCAAAAAATTAATCTTCAGTTATCAACTTTACTGCATTATGGAGCTAGTGCAATCCTGCAGAGCCTAGTCAAAAAGACAAGGCACATTAAAAAATAATAATAATAAAAAAATCAAGATACATTAAACTATATGGACTAGAGTCATTGAAGATAATTTAAGGCCTTTCAGTGAATTAGAGTAATCAGTCTAATTTAAAGCTGAGGATTAAACCATAAATTATCCATCTGAAAAGCAAACAATAGGCTTTTTCAGCTTCTGTTCTGTGGACAAGGATAACAAAAACTCTTGTTATGGTTTGTGAAAACACCTCTGGACATGGAGGAGTAGAGTCAGTTCAATTTCTCTAAGTCCATGGAAGATTTCAGGACTGTTTTAGCCGTTTGCGTGGAATGCCAAACTGTGGACACTGTGCAGACGCGAGTGCACGAAAGGCCTCTGCTACTAAGTGAGGGTGGGAGTGGATCATGGACTTCCAGCCTGCTGTTTCCATTATGTCTGTTGCTTGGCTGAAAACAAAAGTATTGAGAACAGTCACACACTTTTACAAATCAAATGCACAAACACGCGGTGGAGAAAAGAGCAGGCAGGGCAAGATTACAGCAGAAGAGACAAACATTATGAAAGCAGTAACAACACCGTTGGGAAGCAGAACCAAATTTGGGTATACCAGTAACAGCGTGTGTAGTACACAGGCTACTCATCCTGCTCTATTCAATACTAGGCAGACCTCAGGTAGGGAACTGTGTCCAATACAGAGCACAGTGTAACATAACCAGCTCTCAATCACACACGAAAAGCAATAAAAATGTTAAGATAACTAGAAGAAAAATAAAAGTTCATTGCTGAGAAAAGAAAACCAGGGGAAGACATAAGAATCTCATTACATAGAAGAATATGCTCAATGTGGGGATGAAGGAAAGATGACAAGATGAACCAGCTGAAACTGCAGCAAAAATGAGTAGTTTGCATATTAGAAAAAGTTATCAAGATAGATTAGCTGGGTGACAGCAGAACCCTTCAGTTAGAGATTGCATTCTGAGTACCAGTGAATGACAGATACCTGGGGATATTCAACTCTTTTCAGTACAAGATCTCAGGCTGCATTCAGAATAGCTTTCAGCAGCCACTGTCAATTTTTAACAACAGATTTCAGCAAGCATCATATTGATATTCATGAAATAATAATGTATTTTCTCAAAATATTTAGATTATTTACAAAAAAGTTGATGCAATACTGTTTTGAAATAATAAAAAGCAAAACCATAGCATTTACTCTGCAAACAAAGAATGCTATGCTGGTTGAGACACATGGCACATGGACACAGGATAAATTTGTAGTTTGAAACAAACAGCTTAGCCACTGATCCCCGATTTCCATTGCTGCATTTTCATAAGAATCTTCATATTGTCTTGGGAAATTGTCAAAGTTAGCATCTGATCTCTACGCTGTATAATCTCTCTCTCAAAAAAAGTTTTTTTGTGGATTTCTAATGCCAGCCTTTAATCTTCTGCTGCAAGTCAATAGAAGTAAGTGCCTTGAGCAATAACACCAAAGTTTGGACTCCTTGGTTCTCAGTCAGTTAAGCCAGGTCCTCTCAAATTGCTTCAGTTAAATCATCCGCAATACATCAGGGAAATAAAGATGGCCAGCATCCTTACTAGCAATTACCCAAGACTGAAGTCAACTAGTAAACTCCAAATCACAGGAAAAATCCACATTGGCCGCAGAATTTTATTAGTTTCCCTACTTTGTATGTCATGATTCCTTTCTACCATGCCCTTCCTTTTCCACACCATGCTCATTCATGACACCTGTGAAAATCAAGTTCTTCAGGGAAAACACTACTAAAGTAACTGGCATAGCACAAGTTCTTTAACTGTTCTGGAGATTCTGACAGCATGAAGTAAAACCCTGCTGTCCTTTTACTACATTTCAGCTTACCACTATTCATTGTGAAGCTGGCTGTCTTCTGTTCCATGATTTACTTGAGCTGCTTTAAGTACACACTGCAATCAGTCCTACAGTATGAAGGACATATTCTCAACTGATTTTTAGTGCAAGCATGAGCGCTTAGAGAATGTCAGATCAAGGGACATGACTGACTGGTTGTGTGGCCTCAACAGTATGAGTTCTGGCACATGGGAAGGTCTGTTTGTAGCAACAAATATGTTGCCAGAGGCATGAAGAGAAATTGCCCTTCTGTTTTTGGTAATAGTGCAGGCTCAGACTCATCTAAACAAGTCTTGAAATCACACCAGCATTGCCAGTTCACCAGGCACAACCTGGTTAACTGAAAGATTTCCTTTACTAAGGGCTGATGCCGCTTTTCTCACAGCACTGATTCTTCCTAGGAAAGACTAGGAAAGAAACCTTGTTGTTGTTATGACCTCGCACCAGAAGGTAGTTAACTCCCCATATCATCTAAAAGGGAAGTCACAATCATAACTGTGGTAATATCTGCCAAATCCTATTTTACTTACAGTGAGTGACAGGCCTCAGTAGTGTGGAAATGAAGTAACAGTTCTTAAGATCTGCGGTCTATGTAGCAGTGTTTGTACAGAACATCAGGAAGCAGGGAAACTTACTTGCTATTCCAGTTTTTCCCATCTTTACACCCAAGTTGTCTAAGAACACTGCACCTGAAAGAGAGAATATGTGCTAATATTGAGAAGGTATGCAAAGCATAAGTTAAAATATATTTAGATTCTCATTAACATTACTTGCCTGTTAATAAAGTCTATTGCTTGTGCTTTTAACTGTTCAGCGCTGTGCAAATCTGCGAGGATAAGAATGTCAGCAACATTTTCTACCGAGAGGTTACTACAGAGTGCTTCCTCACACATGACCTTCAGCCGTTCCAGTGCATACTGATAAAAGAAAAAACTACACTAATTATTCTTCAAACTTATTCTTTTTACCGTTAGTTCGAAAGACAGTTTAAGACAGATGCAGCCATGAAAACACTTAGCATCTCTCAAGCTTGAGAGCCAACAGGAAATTCAATACGTTGCATTGGAGTCTTCAAATGGTAAGACATCATGTTAGAAATTATTAGAACTTTTATTAAAAAAAAAAAACAACAAGAAGTAACTCATTTAAGAGTTTGTTTTCTTTCAGTTTGGTAAAAGAAGAGGAGCAAGGAAGACACAGGCACTTTATTAAAACCATCATCAGATAAGTTTACATCTCAAAGCGTGGGGCAAGAAATTGTACAATGGAAAGTTTCATGAAACCTCTCAAAAGTATATTAGTCTGTTTCAAACTGACTTGTTCTGAGGTTGTTTTTCTTCCTTCTCTGAATTTATTCTTTTAAAAAGAACTACTTATAACTTTAACACAGTCTACCAGGAAAGGTATGTAAAATGTTTCCATACTATATTCTGCATGAATAAAACGTGCTTATGTTTTGAAGGATGTTCATACATTGAATAGGTTTCATACAGCTGTATACTCTTCTGCTGAAATCATCCCCAACCCATTTAGTTTAGCAATCAGTTTTCAAGACTGAAAGGAATTTTAGATACATAAATGGCATCTAAATAATCTAAATAATAATATATGTAGTCAAGTTGCCATCTAATACATTTGTGTTAGTAACTGTACCATGCAACAAACAAATGCCACTGTGGAAAAGTGAAATTCTTGGGCCAACTTTCAAATGTTTCTATGCCTATGCATTTTTTACATCCATTTTTATCACTAACTACTCCTCAGGATACTTCTATTTCGAGAACACAAAAGTTATGTTAACTCTGTACATACTAGGTAATAAAGCAGTGCAATCTCACTAGTAAAATGCAGAACACTATTTTTAGATCATTATTCAGATCATTATTCCATACTCAGGAGAAACTGACAGATTTTAACCATTCCAAGAAGCTGAAGGGACCTCCTTGCTCACTATCTTTACGCTCTACTATTGCAGACTATTATGTAGCTTCACCTTAAAACATTCTCCAGCATCTATCAGTGTACTCAATAAAAGCCAGCATTCATAAAATGACACTGTTTCACCTTCCCACTTGGGTGTATAGAACTGGACAAAGCACTGAGTTTCAGAAGATGAAAGGCTGGCAGTGAGATTTCAAATGAATACACACGCTAAGTCACCAAAGCCAGAGCAGTGCCAGTTCAAAAATTCTTAAAAAAATAGAACATTAAATTGCCAAGAAAACTTACTAATTGTTTCTTGAAGTTAACTACTGGGGTGGCTTACATTACTGTGATAGAGTTCACTATAAGAACAGGAAGCTTTGCCACCATTGTTTTGAGGATGTACTTACACAACCAATTTAGGTATCACACAGGTAGTTTAAGAAATTACCATACTCTAAACTGAGAGTGAATAGGTTACAGATTACACATACTAAAAGGAATATTCTCTGAGCACTAAGCTACTTACAGCTCCTCAAGGAGAGCCAACTACATGTCCTCTGCTGATAGCTAACTAAAATCTCAATCTAAGCTGTGAATGAGTGAAAAAAAGAAAGAAGGTATTGCATCAAGTTAAAAAAAAGTTAGACAACTCTAAGTTACAACTTCAGTGTTGTTTTAAGACCTCTCACCTCAAGTAGTAAACAAGAGGAGGCAAGTAGATAATAGCAGATAGAATTCCCAATGCAGAAGAGACTATGAAGTTTTGTAGGGAAGACAGATATCAAAGTTCTGAAGTAGTAGTAACTTCATGGAACATAGTTTATTCAAATACTTGCATAAATCCTCTTAAGGAATATCAAGACCTAGGATAGATTTTAAGATCCACTTTTCCAAATAATATCAATGGTCCCTATTTTTTATTTAATTAATTATAGTGTATTTTACTATCCTTACTTATCCTTACTATACTTAAAGTCTGGAACACTTGGGTAAAGAAAAACTTGACAGATTGCTAAAATTCTACTGATAAAGAATTCTGTTCTTCCCATCCTTCTGTATTTCAGATGAGATCTTTTTTCATGGTATTTCAAAAATTGAAACATATATCAAACCGAAGGAAGGTTTTTTTTTAGAAGAATGTTCCACACACTAACATCAATTTTGAGACCTTAGGGGTTAGTTACTTACTTTGTCTGCAGCTGCCAACAAATTGTCAGCCATTTTTTCAAGGTTTGGTGCTTTTCCTGTGTAAATGAATCTCATCATTTCTTTAAAAACTTCAGGGTCTACATCATTTATTTCCACACGGTTCTGGTAAAGGAAAAGAATGGTTATCAAAAACCTTTGGAATTCAGCTATGCTTTTGAAGCACATCATGTTTTCACTTCACACCCATCATACAAAACTCTTACAATTTCAAGCTACCATTCTACAACATTAAGCAGAAAGAAAACAGTAGCTCTTAAGTGTCAGGTAGAAATCAATTGGGAAACCTTACACGAGAAGAATTGCATTTTCCTCCTTGAAATATCTAACTTTGTGGAATGTATTACACAAGCTGCACCTGAAAAATCAAGGTAGTTTCAGGAATATTTAAAAGTGCTCTGAGTTTTGAACCTGATAATGACATGCTTGGAAAATCAGAAAGCAGAGCAACAGAAAACACTGAACCAACTTAAACAGTCAACGGAGTTTATGTTTTTTTCTCAAAATCCAAAAAGCAAACAGACTTTTTGCTTGGACATCTCATGGACATCACATATCTGATGGTCTTCCTAATAGAACAGTGGTATTGCATGCTCAACCCCTTACACCATCCCCTATAAGGGAATAAGGGAGGAAGGAGTGACAAGGATGCAGAAGCAAGCATTAGCCTTTTGAAGCAGGTACAAAACCATCAAAGCACAGGACGATGTACAAGAGCAAGGCTGAACTGGAGATTTGTTGTTAACATAAAGCTACTCAACAAAGCATATTACTGAAGGTAATTTCTTTAAATCAAGAATTCCAAGAAAGTGCTTTTTATATTCCAATTCTGCCTGAGAAAGTTTCCTGGGAAACTGCAAGAAGGAAAAAAGGCCACATAGTTGTACTGCACTTGATGGATTCACAGACAAGTGCTACCACAGCAGCCTGCAAGATTAAATGATGATCATCCATTACAATCCTTTAGCAAGCTGATCACTTCCTTGCCTCTTCATAGGTTCTGCCTATAAACAACCCATTTTAGATGTGCATAAAAGCAGAGGCAACTCTCTGCTAACTAAATACCTATCCATCCCAAACACTTATACAGGTCAAGTGTTTGCAAGGAATCTGAATGAAAAGCACTTCACAGCCTCAAGGCTTAGTGTGAGTTATAATTCACCTGTTGGTCCTTTCTGCTCTAATGACCATATAAAACTTTAATGTTATGCTCTATTGTACTAATCAAATCAATTGGCTTATATGGGAATTGAAGCTTAAGCAAAAGGGGTATGAGATGAATTGCATTAGCAGCTGAAGTGTTAAGAAACAAAACAAAATGCAGTCTAGGGCAGATTTAAATATTTGACAGAACAAAGTCCACCAGAACCTTTCCACAGTCAGCCCTATATGCCGTTTCTACACAAAGAAACTCTCACAGAACTCATGCATGGGAGACCGCAAGAGTACCAACTCCAATCATGCACCACCACACAGTACACACCTCCCTGTTAGCAACACTTAAACATCCAGCAACCTATCCCTTTTTCACAACATACAAGTATTTATGTGCAAAGTCTTCAGTTAGGCTTACCTTTTTGCTTTCTTCCATTTCATGTTCAAACATTGCATTAAAAACTGGAGATCGTGCTAGAGCAAGAAAGATGAATATATTAAATATAACCAATCTAAGCTTTTAGCAATTTTAGTAACAAAGTAATAGCAGTACAAAAGTAGAAAGTACCTGCAAGGACAGATTTATGTGCTTTGAATTCTTGTCCTCCTACGTAAAAACTGCAGTCTGTAAATCTTGTTGTTTCCCAGAGATTCCCTAAATCTTCTGCTAGTCGACATTCAGGTACCTTCAAAGTGTTTGTGTTAGACTGTCCTGATATATTTACTGAGTCTTGGACCACGCTTACCTAACAGAAAATCACAGCAAGACAATTCTTTCATAACTGAACGCCAACAGTAATTAAATTACAGCACCTATTGCTAGAAGTTCAGCAATTCCAAAGCAAAGCAAAACACAGTGGTGTCTCTGGCATTAGGCCAGAACCATAAAGCAGTTTTTTACAGTTTACTTACAAGTAACATAAAACAAATAGGATTTTACTTACAGACTAACGTTGTGCGTTTATCCAACCAACACACCACAGGATAAAAAAAAGCAACAGTAAGTCAAGAGATATGGTTCCTTTGACACCATAAATACATGTTAATTCTATTTCAGAGACAAACTAACAGTTCAGTCTTCACACATTTAAGTAAAATGTATACAAAATCAAGTTCTAAACAGATCAGTAGGATCACTAGAGCACAGACAAGTTTTGTAAAATACAAGTAGCATAGCTCTCTTATCACCCCATTTTACTCTCACAAGTAACTGTTTCTTCAAGCAAGATCAAAGTCATTATTTGAGAAGTGCATGTCAACAGAATATAAAACATAGTAAATAAATAATGAAACATATTCACACGTTTTAAGTTTCGTACAGAACTAGATAAAATGAAATACATGCATCTGAAGTGAATGCTACCACTATTCTCCATGCTTAAGTCTTTCACATAAGTAACAGGATGGCAGCATTCTTACTTGCCTTTGTCAAATAACTTTGCATACTAACTCTTTTAATCAGTCTGTTGGGAAAACGCTCAGCAGGTTTTATTTCTGTTGTCTGAGAATACATACCTGAGAATAAAACCTTCCTTAAAATAAAACCTTCCTAAAGAAGAAAAGCTACGGGATTTCAATTACTGCAACTCTCAAATGCAGAAAATTAGAATTACATATGAAGAAAATGCTGATATTGTTAAGATTGGTGCTCTGTTTGATTTCTAAAGGGAAAGCAACTGGAATAAATCTGGCACAAAGCAAAAATAGCACAGCTAAGCTTCACAGAAAGTCAGTGTGAACCAACCAGCTCAGAAGAGGATGACGATCCAATTAAGACAGCAGTTTGAGGATTTGACTCACTGACTAATTCCCTTTCATCCCATACCCCCTTGTGATTATAAAAACTTTCCTTCTATTCTTCCACCTTTAAAAAAATGGAATAAAAACACTTTTTCATTTTCACAATAAGACTGTATCTTTAAAACATTCAAAGATCAAAACTTCAGTTTTCACACAAGGCAATCTCATGAAGTATGCATACACACAAATGGATTCTCAGCTTCATAAAGCTTATCATTTGTCAATGGAAAGAGTTTGCTCCTCGAGACTTCACCTTAATTTCCTGCTCCAAGTTGTCAGCACAGAAATCTCCTTCCTTGTTAGCTACAGACTTTCCCTAGAAAGGTCGTCCACATATTCTTTACATTTACCCAAGCTGGTCTCCAACATTTCAGAATGTATTTCAGAATGATTTCCAATATATATTTGATGGTTGTGCAACACTGTATGAATTATTCTTTTTAGATGCAACCTGAACAAAGTTTTTATCTCCCATAGCTGAATGAATGTATTGTATTGTCTATTGGTAGGATCTTTAGAAGTAATTACTAACTTACAAATCTGATGTTTCACGTATCACATATCTGGGCAGTATGCTTAGAATCTAAGTGCTTTGGGGTTCACTGTAAATGAATCACAAAAATCAAGCTATAATCCAATCACTTTAACACCACAGTCATTTTTTTTCCCCCAAACACCTTATACTAAATATTTCAGGGACTTCATAGTGGTATTTATAAAATAACTTATGAGAGTAAAGCTATTTCTTCCCTAAAATGCAGGATGTGGAGATCCTAAAACTAATTGCAAACAACCAATCTTAAAGAAGAGTAGTATTTTAAGCAGGAGATTCAAATATTCCACGAGGTCCGATGTACTTACGCCATAGAAAGCTATGCAAGATGCAGCTTTTCACACTACTCTAGTGGCTGCACAGATCCTTTTTAAATTGTATATCCTCTTGTATATGGATATATAAAAATATATGAATCATAACTTGTCCAAGTTCAGTAGGAAGATGACAGCTAACATGGGAAAAGTCATAGTTTTCTTGAGTTTGAAGCTGATGGACCAACAATAATTGTGATAAGCTGTGATACTCCAGACTTCTCTCTATATAAGTCACCTAAGAGCTGCAAAAGCACTCTGTAGGAAAACTATTTATTCTGCAGATAAATTGCTGTTCTCAGATTCTGTGAAGCTAAAAATTTGATCTACAGGCTTCAAAAGATAGTTATGAGTTATATTCAGTAGGGCTGGCAGGGGCAGCACTAGATTTTGCAAAGTATTTGACCTAACCCTTCAATTTTCAGTCCAAAGATACATCCAACGATCTTGAGAACATTCTGCAACATCTTGGTACACACTGCCTAGGAAGACCAAATAATCCTTCTGAAAAACCAGTGGGATAAACAGGAGAAAGCCAGTATAGGTGCTATTCAGTGATCGTTACTGAACACCCACCATGTCCAGGAAGCTTTACCAAGCAAAGTATAAAACCTTTTTAGGGAGGTAAGTCAGTCTTCAAACACAAGTAGGAAGGTGAACACAGAAATAAGCACTTCAAATTTAAAATTACAAATTTCAGACCTGCATACAGAAACAAGTCCTTCAAAGAATACCTGTTGTTTTTAGTAGCTGAAGAGCACGTGCAAATAAATCTATTTTAATGAATCTGCATCTCCAATCTTTTTGCTTGAGTTTGAAACGAATCAGAAGATATTCTGAAACCCTCTCTGTGTACAACTAAAATGTTGTACTTCTTGCAACACTCACAATCAGGGTAGGTCAAATACTTGAACACTCCTTAGAACTTCTTGATGTTTTGTAAGGAAACAGTTATGTTCAATTACTAGCATCAAGACAAAGTATTTTTGAGAGGAAAAAAGTATCAGCATTTGTTCCCATTAAAATTAAAGAGACACAGTTCCAAAAATGAACACTAAGAGCAGCTTATAGCAAACTATTCATCACAAGAAAAACTTCAAGTAAGGAAATACTCCTGAGTATCTCTGCAGAACCATAAAACACTTGTTACCTCTGCTTTTATCACCAAAATAATTGTATTCATAACAAATTTATCATACAGCTAATTTAACTTGTCTATGTGAAAATAAGATGCGCTATATTTGCAATATCTAGTCTCAGGGGCCACATTTCAATTATTCTTTCTACACAGCATAATGACATATAATTAAATTGTAATCTTGCCAAGACAATTTTACACATTTCCTGTAAATACACAGATCAAAGCAAACTTATTAGCAGTTAAAGCATCTATCATCCTCCTAAGCCACTAATCACTTCATGGCAGCAGAGATAGCCAGTCAACATGCATTTAACATACACAGTTCTTATACTGCAACTTTCTGCAGTTTCCATTTTTAACATGTAGTAAGCATTTTACTCAATTTTAATATGACATCTAAGGTTACAAACAAAACCAATACTATAAAAGCATCTCATAACATTCCAGGAAGTTAAGTTTATACCACAGTTTTCCATATTCATTCTCAGTATTAAGAAATATCCTAGAAAACTTGCATTTGTTTAGAAAAAATACAACAGCTGCAATAAAACTCAAACGTTTAATTTACTTGAAAAAACTGTTCACCGATTAAAGCCACAAATAATAATATTGCAGCATAGATTCCAGCCAGCAGTTGTGCTTTTATATTTTTTTTTAAATGCAAGCCAGCACACAGATATTTCCTTTTGCCTATCCAGTGATGAACAATTCTTTAATTCCAAAACACCACTTCTTTATTTAAAGGAGACCTTAATAAAACGATACTCCTACAGACATCACACGTCAGCCCCCTTTTCATAGATAACTCTACAGCAAATTTCAATGTATCCTGGCTGATTCTTGGAGTTTACAAGCAGTCGTTTCAGAATTGTTCTGCATTTTGATACATGTGTACCAAAAAGAAGAAACAAAATACAATGTAGACAATGCAAGTAAAAGCATCTCTCTCCATATCTATCATTTACAGAAGGCAATCGTCATATTACTCTTTAAATGAACATAAAGCAGAAACTTTGGGGTTTTTTTTGGAGAACAAAAGCTTAAATTACACCCACCTCACAAAATAACGTAAGCTTGTCATCCGGTAAAAGACCATTAGCTTCATCTAGTAAAAAATCTCTTCGGATAAACTTCTTAAAACCCCAATCCTTGCCTTGCACAAACCGATACGCTCTTTGGCTTTCTGATAAAAAGACAGTTATGTACAGATCAAGCAAGTCAAATACAAAATATTACCAGACATTAACATCTGAAAAGTCTATACTATCTACAATTCAAACCACGGCATCTCTTCAGATTTATCTTAGGCACCAACCAGCAAGAGAATTTTCCAATTCAAGCTTAAGAGTGCCGATGCGTCAAAACAGAAACTGTTCATCGGGAAGTACCATGACAATGAATTTGTCATCACAAATGCATGCTGACAACACTTCTGCAGTTGTCATAACAATCTATTTCAGCTTCTTCCTGAAACAGAAAATCTTGTTTCCCAAGTTCAAATTACTCTGGAATAGAGTAAAAGAGCAGAAAAAAAGCAAAACAGAAATGAAAGCTTTCAGCTAACTGTTTCTCTGGTTGTAAAAACATATGTTGACAAGTGCTTTTTTTAAGCCACACACTGTGACTATTTTTATTTTTTTTTTAATTTAACAATTTGCTGTGACCACAAATCCTTTTATTTTACCTGTTCTAATGGTCACTGCCCACAAAAGGGTTCCCATGGTCATATTAGTGCAAATACATGCACTGAGTAAGGTTAGTCACTCTACATGGCACACCTGCTATAAGATGGTCATTTATTCCACAAAATGGACCACAGGAAAGTACACTGTATACTTTTATTTGAAAATAAAACATGGGAAGTTATATTTAGAAAGAGTGCAGAAAAGAAAAAGAGCAAGAATATTTCTGAAGTTATAGTAGAAACTTAAAAAAACACCACACACACTCTCATGAGGGGCTTTTCTTTAACTCCAAAAAAGCTGGGTGAGAAATTGTATCAACATTCACCTGCTATATGAACGCATGTAAAACACAGAAGCAAAGGCAAATGCACTTACTGAAGTGCAGTGTGGGGCCTCGAGATGAGGGGACCAAAGTAGAAGAGTGTTCATGTTTTTAAATCTGTACGCCAAGAAAAAAAAATTGTCTGCCGTTGTAAAAACACAGTTTAGGTTTTTGGCATCTCTGTCAGCATTTTTCACATTTTTTTTTTAAACCAACTTTCCAATGTCTCACAAAGCCCATGAAACTGAATAAAAAAATAAAATCAAATTTATTCCAAAGAAAAAAAAAAAAAAAAGGTTCTCTAGATTCAGTCCAAAGCTTTGTTCTGCAGACTCAGATGCTACTGCTATCAGCAAGAACCAGCATTAGCCCTCTGAAATTACAAGATCAGTAGCCATTTAAACATACAAAACTGTAGAACTAAAACAGCATAAAATGTTTTCTTTCTAATGAAGTCAAAATGTTAGTTTTACCTATCTTATACAAGCATTGCTTGAAGCAGCAGCCTGTGCATGAATTATCTATTAACAAAGGATGTCTGAAGTTGGACATCATTACATGTTATATTTAAAAACAGAGCATCTCCATGAGCAGATGGTAAATGGCTGGAAAGTCTAAGAATTAAGATTTCTGTTGGTAATTTCCCAAGATGAAAATATGTTTCATTTCTACAGTGTCAAATACAGGACTGCTACTATAGCAGAAACTGAAGACATCTATTCACTGTATTTTTCTTGTACCTTGTGAATTTTAGAATACCAATAAGCAAATGATCTTCAGATTCCTCCATCCTAACTGAACAGCCCTCACTGAGGGCAGCTCTCACACTTTTACCGAGAAAAGAGCAGAACTGGGTGCCCTTCTCAAGTGTCTGCACAGTCACGCACAACAGTGTGGGGAAGAAAAAGGAGGAATTAGAGGCCTGCATACAGCTGCAGGGCTAAGAACTCATTGGCCTCATGGAGATGAGTGTTGCAAGGACTGATGCAGTAAAATCTATCAGTGGATGAATATGGAGCAAAATATGTACATCTATTTCTCTTCCAAGGAGTCAAATCATTTAATGCATTTAGATTTGCACTCAGCTTTGTGAATTTACATCCAAGATTACAAGTGGGTCTAGTCACATTAGGAGAAAGTAGCACAGGAATTGCCATTTTCAACCAAGACTTTAAGACCCAATATGTAAAGAAATAAAAGCAAAGTAGAGATTGAAAATTATAGAGCTACACAAAAACAGTAACTAAAAAACCCAAATCAAAGCAAACCCTCCTGAAGACTTTGGAGGTAAGTACTAAAGAATGACAGATGTTTAAAAAAAAAAAAAGCCCTGCAGTACAAGAAGGGAAAGAAAATTTGCATTAAATTGCTGACCTAAATCAGATTTGATGATCTTTTTCATACTCCACATCTGGCTGAAAGGTACCCTTCAGAAGTCATACTACCATTTGTGATTTTTCTTACCATATACTAAAATATTTTATTTAAATGCTCAGTCTAAAATGTCCATAGCCTGCTACACTATCAGGGACCTTACAGTGTTTAGTATTAAGGAAAGTCCAACTTTCAGAAACATTTCTATAAGAATTCCAGCTTTACCAAAAAGCATTTCCAGTAAAGGTTGTGCTTGTAAGATGGAAAACAAGAAGGCAATTAAATCAACTCATCAATTATTACAAAGTCTTTGAGTTCCTTGGGTATGTGATTCATGTTTTTTTAAACTAATTATAGTGTAAATCAGATGAAGCAGATAAAAACACTCTAAAGGAGCATCTAAAAAACGTTTATCCTAATATAATATGGCACTCTAACTTTCACTGTAGTTAGAAAAAAGCAAAAACAACTCTACTAGCAGGAACCAAGAATAAATTGCTAGAAAAAATCAGGCTACAAGAATTTAGAGTGATAGAAGTTAGTAACCCATTGCAATTTATGCTGCTCAGTGAATAGAACTGAGAACTGAGAGCGAACAGAACTGTGCGAAACAAGATTTTTAATTCAGTTTCTAAAAGGATCTTGAAGATATTTTCAAGTTTCCTCAGAGTTAAATTCTGTTCAAGAGAGAAAAAATTACTAAGCAAACCTTCTGTGGAATGTTCTTATAAATCTGCAAGCACCACAGTGAGATTCTCTTACCCATTGCTTTAGTTTCTTCCCTTTTCGCATTCAGCAGTGAAAATTTGAATTTTGCTCTGACTTCACTTTTTGGACAACTGACTAAAAGCAAGTACAATGACAAGTAGTCTTTGCTTTCATCATCTAATCCCTTTGGATTCACTCTCAGGCACCTAAAGGAAAGGAAAAAATGTGCCTTTTAAAATCATACACAGAATAATTTCAAATAGGTATGCATTTTTTTTAAGAGAGAATGCCATACCACATTAAAACAAGTGTTTCCCTAGTAACTGTTGAAACTATGAAACCACAAGCAATCTTAACATCACAAACAAAGTTTTGATACTTATTTGTTACTTGAATTTTCAAGTTTTGCTAGTGAAAACAAAACAAAAAAAGCAGTTGCCAGAATGAAGACCTTACCACTTCATTTTGTCATTTGGCCCTGATGAAAATGTAGAACTCTTTAAGACTTCACCCATCTCTTCTCGGCAGAAACTGAAGTTATTAATGGTCCACATGTAGGAAAATTTTACTACTTTGACCTGAACAAAAGATGTAAAAAATTTCAATGAAACGTAGCTCGCATATCAACCATTAGCTGTGAAAACATTAGACTGTCAGCACAATTCAGTGTTTTTAGGGTTTTTTTTGGTTAACGGTAATTATGAATAGAAAATGAAGCTGTTGGAATTCATGCAAATTACCTGTGTGTAACACCAGCTTTCAGCCACAGGTCCACTGGACATCTCCCCAGGAGGAGGTGGGGTAGGAACCCTTGACATTGCCACTTATTGCAGATTATAGTATCTAAACAGCAATCCAAACTTCAGTAATTCTTCTAAAATAAAAACAAATACGTAATGAATATAAATTTGGTTGCTTTATGTAAGTATGGGGAAAATATTACATTTTGATCCTCAGTGGATGGTCTCTTTCATGTCCTCCAGGTATCTCTTCTACTCTAAGAATTACGCTCGTATATTAAAGCTGGCTGGCATGGGAATCACTCCAAACGATGCACATATAAAGCCTTCAAGGAAAAACACAATTCTCAGTTTTCTTTAGATGAGGAAGCAGATGCTGTAATCAGCTCTCTTAACAGAACTCAGTGAACAAAGAAAATAAATCACCGACTAAGTCTCCAGAAAGATAGAGATCACCAAGACATTCAAGTGTAATCAAAAACACAATTCAGCAGGACTCCTGTAAGCAGCAGAACTTTTCTTTCCAAATAAAACTTGTATTTACTTATAGCAGCCCTCGGTATTTAATTAGAGCTTTCCACAAATGTTAACAGGTGACAATCAGCCCCTGCACATAGAAGATCATGGAACTTGCTTGGTCCTTCTTTTCTGATTTCCTTTTAAGAAGGAATCACAAGTATTGCATAAGCTGCATTTACACAGATTTTGTTTACACATTCACAATTCATTTTGATATTCTAGACAGAACCATCCAGAAAAAAATCCCTTGAAAGGATATATGTGAACATCCCTATTTCATAAAGCAAGCATTTTGGTGCTTATATGACCATTATTTTTGGAAGTACATCCTACTCAGTGATAACAACCAACGCTATAACCCAAATAGCTGATGGAACTTGCATAGAACTATAGCCTAAATTTCTTTAGTTTACTTCAGCTTCACTCAACCCATCTGCTGTTCAATTCTCCAAAGTTAAAGAGTAAGGAATAAGAAGAAATACCGATCATTCCTCATTGTCAGACACGCTCCAGTACGCCCCTAATTCTTTCAGTACTTTAGGACAGGCAGCTCCTAGAAATCCATGATCTTGGAAGAAGCTTTGAAGGATTCCCTTTGTCGAAAAGGGCCTCAAAATTGGCTGTATTGTAGCCTCTCCAGCCAAGTGCCCAGTAACCTCAGGCCAGCTACCAGTAGTTACCTGCTACCTCCTGCCTCAACCAAATTAGCCTGACCAACTGAGAGCTGACATCTGGACTACATGAACTCAGGGGTCTTTTCCAATCCTAATGATTCTACAATCTACATCATGGGTGTCCAATCTTTTGGCTCCCTGGGCCACACTGAGTGAAGAGAAAATGTCTTGGGCTGCATATAAAATATAGAATATAGTTAGTGTACACAGGTAACTCGACTTTCTTATGTTATTAAAACACTAGAAAAGGGCAACAAAAACACAAAACCAGTGGGTTGGACACACGTGGTCTAAGTAAAGGTGCTTAACTGTCACTCCATCACTTTCAGGTCAGTCTGTCACTGCATCTGGTTCTACATTGGGCATTTGTGCTTGAGACTGCTCCAACCTGCTGTGTGGCTTTTGTTATTCACTCCAGCTTCTGACAGAAGCCATGACTAAGTCCGTTTGTCAAGTCATTCACAAACTTTGGCTCTTCATCAAGTTTCTAATTACTGCTTTAGCAGAAGACAACTGACTTCCCTGAGATCCTGACATGCCTTCGCAGAAGACAGAACACGAACTTTGAACAGGTAGAATATACTGGAGTCTGAGTTTAGGAGTGTGGATTGTTTATTTTGTTCTGTTTTTAAATATGCCTGAGTGCATAGTTTTAAGAACACAAACCAAGCCCAGCAAGCTGAACAAAGGAGATGCTCCGGCAAGCTGTACCCAAGGACTTCCAGAGAGCAGTGCAAAGCTATTGGCAGTACCAATAATCTACTTTAATTAACTTTACCTAACTAATTAATCAGGATTTGGAGGCCGTGCTAGGGATATTTACCAAAACTACAAGCTGAAAGGAAAGAGCCATAGAAACGCTATCCTGACACACAGAGGCATCAGGAGAGGGAAGGATTTCCTCCCACCAGGTGCTGGTACCCAACTGGCCACATGTTCCTCACCCATTGATACTGACACAGGACCAAGAGAGGACCTTGCAAGAACAGACTGAAGGTGAGAAGAACGATGCACCTACACGCTCAGCTTTTGTTCTACATGCTACACTTTGCTTGGGGAAAAGACTAAATACTACCTTGAAGAAAGTGTTTATGCATCCTTGATCAGCCACTGTCATCAGCTCAAAGAGGTTTCCAAGCACCAATCCCCCCTCACAGCCTATTAGATCAAATGGCTGGGAACAGACAGAGCTGTAGTTCACAAAACCTGTCAGCGAATTACGAGGTGAAATTAAATCAATAAAAGTGCAGGAAGACAGGCTTGTTATCTGCAGGATGAAACCACTTACTCAAAGTAGCACAATTTCACACTGGAATCTGCATTTACTCATTCTAAACAAAGCATCAGAGGTGACAGGACACGGCCACATAACACCCTCCAAAAGTTTTCAGGCAATGTTATAGCTGTCTGGACAAAGCTTAACAAGCCAGTTCCATTTTGCTAGGAGGACTTCTCCAACCACCAGAAGAGGCACGCGTGATTACATTCACTTGGAAATACTAAAAAGTTTTAGGGGATGAGGACAAAAATTTCTGGCTTTAAAAATAGGTAAATGGAAAATAGGTGTACTTCTGAAACATGTCAAGGAGCTTACTCCTTTTTTTTTTTTTTTAAAATAAAGTGATATATCCATACTAGATGCCATGCAGCAGTTACTGACAACTCTTAGACTCAGAGTTTACTCTGTCTTACTCCAAAACAAGGGAAGAGATGCTCAGAAGTATATTAACCTGCACTCTTATATCCTGAATATAACGGGCTTCTCGCTTCTCCTGGCCTCTTAAAGTACTGATGGCAACCGCTAATCATTCTGTCAAATAAACCAGTCTCTCTAAAACTCAGAACTTCACAGAGCTCAGCACTACTTGCAGAGCAGGAGAGGGCAAGTGGAGGAAAAAAAATAAATCAAAGTGGTTCCTCAAAGCACATTTTGCAATTGAAGTACTTGCCTACTCAAAGAAATTGAAAGTATTGAACTCCAAGCTAACTGAAGTTGATTACCATTATTATTTCCTCATGGAGTGTAAATAAAATACAGACTATCCTCCATAAGAATGATTTACACTGAATTTCATTAAAAGCTGTATCGGCTGTTCAAACTTTCTTTCTGTAACTTTTAAGACACCTTCAAAGATGCCTTATATGTAAACATGCGAAGTTTCAAGCATACTGTCATGCTTCCCTTACCAAAGTTATATTCAAAAACTCAATATTTATGAAGATTATTCTAGATAAAGTAACTCTTCAACTTCTGATCTACAGAACTCCACATTCAGTCTCACATCTTGTGTTAGAACCAATAGTTTTTACACTGGAAAAGTGACAACATATTAAGAAAGCACTGCAAAAATATCAACAGGAGTTCTCTAATCCTCAATAGTAAGTCCACAAAATGCTTCAAACCTTAATTGAAGAACTGTCTTTAGCGTTAACAGGATCTTTTGCCAGCTCTCACATGTAACAGTGGAAGCTCAGTGGAACTACTATACTCTGGTATTTGTTTCATTAAAGTAGTTGTAGTATTAACATGTACTTGTGTGCACCTGTTATGTAAGTAGTGACCATAGCAATGTTTTATCTTTTTATTTCAACAAAGTATTAGCTAACAAATTACTGATAGAGCTGGACAGACAAATTGCTTTCCACAGGCCATCCAATGGACTCTAGAAGCTCACCCCTGCCTGCCAGAACTTAACGACAGATAAGTCTGCCAAGCAAATCAATGACCCCATCTCGTCCTGTAAAAAGCAAGGGAGAAAGCACACCACGAGCTGGAAGGGCAGTCCTTCCCTGGCTCTTCTCTGCAGTCCCTTCTTGCAAAGGGTTCAGCCTCCAGGATCAAAGCACTTCTCTCCCCTGCTGCATTTTGGCATATCACAGGACTTCAGCGCTCACCGCATGATAGAGCTGAGCAAGAGCTGGTCAGGCACAGCATGGGCTTCTTCTCAAGTTCTGTCCAGTGATTGAAGAACAATGCTACATTTAACAGGAAAGTCACAGTGCACTCCCAAACCATCATGGGACAGAGTTTCCATAGTGCCCCAGAAATAGGCCAAGGAGCCTGCTCTGCCAGAAACAAACATCTCTAGCCAAACTACATCAAGCATTCAATAGCTAACAGAAACTAGAGTTACTTACTGTCTCAGAGCAACTGAGGTTAGGATCATTTAGCAATGACTAAGGAAAGCCTAATAAATGAGTATGCCAAGCAAATCCCACATGCATGTCTTGTGTATTTCATCTGAATGGCCAGTCTTTCCTGAAAGGGGCTGAACATCTCAAGGAATGCAAAGCCGTGATGAATGTTCCCCACCCCCAACCTTTGGAAATACTGATATTTCATCCTTGACTAAATTTAAACAAAAACCTACTTTCTGAAGGTTAATTGCTGAACAACACAATGTTCCTCCAAGTTTTTATTCCAAATAAACAGGTAGTTCAGAAACTACATATAATTTGTGTACTCCAACAGCCAAAACTTTATGGATTTTTGCTTTTTGTTTTCTGGGTTTTTTTTTAATCTAAGGTGGCAAGTCTTCCATCAATAAAATCATCTTCCAGAAACCCACTCAAAAATAATAGAACCATAGAGTGGTTTGGGTTGGAAGGGACCTTTAAGACCATCTAGTTCCAACCCCCTGCTGTAGGCAGGGACACCTCCCTCTAGTCCAGGTTGCTCACAGCCCCATCCAGCCTGGCCTTGAGTGCTGGTCTGATGCTCTACTTGACACACAATTCCATGTAGTGGAAAGGCCAAAGGATGTGGCTGTGTGGCCAGCTATACCAGGGTTACAGCTGACCCTGAGCCATGCTCCTTCCAGCTTGTTGCAGAAGTACTGACTGCTGTAAGAACCCTGACCAGCCGGGTCAGACTTATCTCAAGGAGGCATGGAACTCCTGAGCAGATTAAATCTGCAAGAAACATCTTCCTCTCCAAATCT